GGCCCTGTCGAACATGACAGAGCCTGAGTAGTACTGTAGGCGCCGGGTTTTACGGCCTACAGTATTGCGGGCGCCGCCTTCAACCCTCGAGCACGGAGCCTGACACAAACACCGCAATAGGACTCACGTCCTTGATGCTGACAAGCGTGCGGGTGCCACACCGTCCGCCCCCATAGTATCGTAGGCCAGCACTCCTGCCCGACACGCCGCCCGTAGAGGCAGGACGGGACGTGACCACTTGCAGAACGTAGCATCATCAGCACACAAGTACCCGGCGAACGTGCCAACCTCTGACACCAGTTGGCCGTGTCTAAGGCTGGCTTGGAGGGAAAAGGAAGACTCGAGCCCTTCGAAGGACCTTCTATACCCTTGGTATTTTTCTCTTTCACCCATCTGTAACCCCTGCTCCCCCCTTCGTCTATAAAAGGGAGGGCAGGGCTCCCTATTGAAAGGGGACCAAACAAATCGACTTTCAACGGACAACTCACATACAGACGAGCTCATAGAGCATTCAGTTCCACACACACAGCCAAGTCGCCACCAGGCCCTTGGCATCCTTTCGACCCCTCCATCAGAGACCTAGGACCCGTCCCTGTCTCGACCATTTGTACCCCCTACTACGAACCGTATTCGGTGCTAATAATACAAGCAGCAACAGCAGACTGGACATAGGGACATTCGGCCCGAACCAGTATAAACCTTGTGTCCTTTAGCACACCATCCGGGCCTAACGTGCATCAATTATAAATTCACTCGCCGGTGTTTGTTTGAAACACCGACACAATCCTACTCTAGCATGGTAATTTTAGGAATGTAAAGACAAGAATTAAATTGATCAAATGTAAATGCTTAAAGTAAAGAGAGGAGAAGGAATGCGTCGATATTTTGCCAAGGTATCAGAGAGTCGTCACTCCCCACTAGTCCTCGTTGGAGCACCCACGCAAGGGTGTAGCTCTCCCTTGATCCGCGCAAGGATCAAGTGCTCTCTACGGGCTGATTCTTCGACACTCTATCGCGGTGAATCGCCCACAACCGCTCACAACTTGAGTTGGGTAATCCACAGGCTCCGCCGGATGATCACCAAACTCCCAATCACCACCAAGCCGTCTAGGTGATGGCAATCACTAAGAGTAACAAGCACGAACTCTCACTTGACCACAACAAGCCTAATGAGAAGGGTGGATGTACACTTGCTACTCTCCTTACACTAATGAGGCCTTAATCTTGGATTCTCAAATATCAATCATCTCACTAGGCTCTTGCTCTCCTTAGCATTCTTAAGGGTGTTTCTCAGCTGAACAAATGGGCAAGAGACCTCCCTTGTATGAATAGAGGAAGTATTTATACCCCCTTATTCAAAACGAACTGTTAGGAGGTTGAGTCAGCACTCTACGGGGTGACCGAACACTCCGGTCAAGGTGACTGGATGCTCCGGTCAGTTATCCCTGCCATAGAGCCGTTAAGTTATGACTAGACTCTGACATGCGTCCAGTCAGCATTGACCGGATGCGTCCGATCACGAAAACTGCTCTCTAGAACCTTACTGATGTTGACCGGACGCTGGCGCCTAGAGTCTGGTCACTTCGCTATTCAGCGTCTGGTCAGTTACCGGATTCTGACCAGCGTCCGGTCAGCACTGACCGGACGCATCCAATCAGGAATTTCCCTCTCTAGAACCTCTCTGGAGTTGACCGGACTCTGACACCAAGCGTCCGGTCACTTTACACTCAGCGTCCGGTCGCAACCAGATGGCTCCAGTTGATGAAATGAACTGACCAGACTAACCCTTCAGCGTCCGGTCACAACCAAACCAGCGTCCGGTCAGTCATTTGACCCTCCATTCACTTTCAACTCGAAATCATATGTGAATAAAGTTTGCTCCAACTGATCCTAGGGCTACTCCGAAGCTACCTAGTGCTAGATTTGACAAGTGTGCACCACACCTAACTCACTAGACTCACCTAGGTCAAGCTACTAGTCCACACCCCCTTAATAGTACGGCCAAAGGAAAAATAAAGTCCTAAACTATTCTAAGTGTCTCTTCAACATCAAATGACACTTAGAACTAGTCCATCCTTAACCTTGTCGTCCATCCATTGAAAACTAAAACGATTTCCATCGTAGGGGCATGACAACCATGATTGCCCAATCAATTGTCATTACCATAACCTAACTTAATTGTCTCTGCAAAACACACGTTAGTCATAGTTTTCTCGTATTGTCATTAATCACCGAAACCCAACTAGGGGCCTAGATGCTTTCAACATTAAATCATTAGTAGAAATAAAGATATATCCTTCATTTGTAAAGCTAGGTGTTTGTTAGTTGAACCCAACACTTTGCTTGGTAAAGATGATAGTGAGCTTAGTACCTTAGTCATTAAAGCTAGTTTAGTACCTTAGTATGCGTATTCTTAGTTTAGGAGTTGTTGTTGCTTAAATGATAAGTGTTGCATCATCGTCGCATGCATGTAGAAAATGAGTTGGCGAAGATCGTGACCACCGGTGATCACGAGTTCGAGGAGATCATCGAGGAGTACGATAAGGAGATTCTCGTGCAGGAGGTGGTCACCCAAGCAAGCCCCACTGACTGACTCAGCTAACACCGCGCCTGTCCAAGGCAAGTCTCGATGCATAACCTCTTATTTTTGGATAATCACTGTTTATATATGTTATGTGCATTTACGTTACAGGAATTTTAAAGAAACAACATGCATAGATATACCTGTCCTAAGAGTCTTACTAGTGCAGGTTCGAGTAGCTACTATGGTTAGGTTTCGGTAGCGTGAGTAACCTGTCGTTACTCATAATAGGTGATTATTATTACTCTCATAATAAAATAAAGAAAGGAAAAATAGAGACATGTTAGGGATATGGTATGGGTATTGATGGGTGTAACATGTTGTGTCCCGCGACCAACGGGGCTTAGCTTGGTTACACTGTTTTTCTTGTTCGTGTCGATTAAGGATCGTCCGTTGCTGTGCATGGTAGTCAGGTCACAAACTTATTATTCTAAGCACATACTTGTTTATGGGAGCGGGAAGGCTCGTTACACTCTGTCGTGGGTTCTGGCTCTTTTCGGATCGACTGATTGGAGGCGGGAAAAGGTGGAGGTCTAAGCACCATGCCGAGACCAGGTCTCATGTGTGGGGGCTTGGAATCCAAGTTTGCATGGGGACCTGGACCCCTCGACAGGAGTGGAATGGGTTGGTCTTGTTTGTGCCTAGGATACAAATAGGACGTGTGTTTCAGGGTACCTAGCTGGGATACATTGGTTCACGAATCGTCATTTCCGTGAGACAGTACGACTTGGCTATGGTCTAGCACCGTAGTAAGAATTAGAAGATGAAAGATGATGAAATGGTTCTGATTGCTTAACTCTTCTTGAAAGTAGAACAGGTGCTTCTTTAGAATGGTTAGCTAATGAAGTAATCATGACTGCTAATAAAACTTAATTGTAAGGATGAACTATTAGTAGTGCTTTTCGCAAACAAAAAGAAAATAGCAAACCTATATTGCCTATTATATCTTTGAGAGTCGAAAACTATTATCACTAGTCGGGTAAGTCTTACGAGTACATTGTGTACTCAGAGTTTATTTACCCCTATTGCAGGTGCAGCTTGATGAGTAGCTCTTGTGTGGAGGATTCTTCTGGTGGGTATAGACGGATCCTTGTATCGTTTCCGCTAGATGTTTAATTTCATTCCGTTGTTTAATTATCATACTCTGAACTCTGGTATTGTAATAAATAATTTACAAGAGCTCTTATTGTATAAAATGAACTAAGTATTGTAAGCTCGTACTCGTTATTAGATTCTGGATGCAAAACGTGGATTGTTTCGAGTTCTCTCTTGGGGTGTGCTTGACGGAACTGTCCGATTTAGCTTACTTTCGAGATACTTAGTGTCTAGTGTAAGATGAACGCCTCCAAAAACGTGTTATTTTGGGCGGTTTTGTCACAGCGTGCCGGTGCTGTGCTGCCTAATCTCCGTACGGCTTCTGACAGGAGTACCTGTTGACCACATCGCCCGTCGGAACGGAGTGGAGCGCCACGATCGGCTGACGACGCCTGCGTATAACATCAGTGACGAATAGAGACGCGATGTGGAGCCATCCCCGTCATCATCTACAGAACCGGTGGGACCCGCATAAAGGAGATGAAGGACACCGCGACCCTGAAGGCCTTCTTCTCTCTCTTTCTCTTTCTGCACCTTCCTCTTCATCTATAGAAGGGGAAGCAGGAAGCCCTATGAAGGGCAACGTCTGAATAAGGTTAAAAGACTCAACTCCGTTCGATCTTTTTACCAGAGACTTGTGACCTTCTTTCTCTTTCGCTCGTTTGTAACCTCTACTACAAACTAGTGTCGGTAACACGAGCAGCAGTAGACTGGACGTAAGGACATTCCGTCCGAACCAGTATAAATTCTTGTGTCCTTCGAACACATCATTCGACCCAGACGCGTAAATACAAATTTATTTGTCTTAAAATAAAAGCCAACAACATTCTTCAACAGTGTGAGAGACCTGGCATTAAATCGAAGCAAAGGCTTCCTAATTAACTTCAGAATCGAATCTGCTCAAGCCGATCCAAAACGAGGAAACGCAACGGAAGCCGGGGAGAGCGACAGGGAGAGAGAGATCCAAATCTCCATCCCGCAGCCACGCTCACGCTCACGCACATCATCGTCCTCCTCCCTTCCCGGCTTCCCCGCTGCCCCCCTCGCCTCGCGCGTGCGTGCGTGCGCCCCCCTCTCCTCCTACCTGCGCGAGCGACTAGTAGAAATAGGCGCCTCGGCCGCTCGCTCCTCCGGTTAATCCCCCTTCGCCACGCCACGACTCGCAGCCAGCCCTTCACATTATCCGCGCGCTCGCGAGCGGCCGTAGCGTGTGGGTGGCGTCGCCGTGCGGACGGTCTCTTGGTGCCGGTGCGGGCCGCGTGACGGTGCGTGTGCCGCCCGCGCGGAGGAGGTCGTTCGGTTGGTTGGTTGGTCCGCGCCGACGATGGCGGCGGTCCGCGGCGGAGAGGCGGTCTCCGTCGCGCTCCTCTTCTCCCTCGCCTTCTTCTGCGCCCGCCTCCTGCTCGACCGCCTCGTCTACAAGGTATAATCTCCCCCCGTCCCGACACCGCCAGATTCGCGCCGGGTTCCGCGAGATCTCTGGTCTCCCCGGTTTCGCTCCCGCGCCCCAATGCTCCCCGTCGCGAGTCGCGATGCGGGTGCGGGGCGTGGTCTCCGCGGCTGCTCGTTGCATCTTCGTAACCGATCAGTTGATCCCGCTCGTCCGGCGGGGGATCATCCGAGTGCGGGTGACGTAATGCTTCCGCCTGTTTCCAAACTGCAAACCGGTCGTTAATTGCGTTACTGGTGGCTTGCTACCCTGTTGAGGATCAACGGTGCTGGCTTAATACGAGCTTGCGTTTTCGTTCTCATGCTCTGGGTGCGGTTTAAGCAGAATTATTATGTGCTTGCAGTAGAGCATGGATCAATAACTTTGTCCTTATGCAAGGATTGCTTGCAATGGAACCTTGCACCTACCAAATCTACATCTGACATGGCTTGCCAATTGCATCATCTTTTCCTGAATTGCTGCAAGTCAGCTATATGTCTTCTTTTTAAGGTTTGAGCCCGGTAGAGGTGATGATCTAAATAAGGTGGAAAGGTGCTGTATGTACAACTTTTTTTTCTATATAAGGAAAGGACATTGGTACTCATATAGCTGTGCCCATGTGCAAACCTCTTGATTATCTTGGCATTGGTTCGTTTTCTAAAATTCCAGTGTGAACAGTACCTTTTGACATTACATGGCAGTTTAACTACACATCTTAACATTTTGCTATGTTTCCAGCCATTGGCAGTCTACCTTTTCAACACCAAAGCTTCTAAGTTGATGAATGATGAGGCCAGGCAAGCAAAGATTGTCAAGTTCTCAGAGTCCAGTTGGAAACTTACCTACTATGCTTCTGTTCAAGCATGGGTCCTCATGATAATAAAGCAGGAACCATGGTCATTGGATATGATGCAATACTTTGATGGTTGGCCGAATCAACCCATCACGTGAGTGCATACTGTTTCCTCAATAAATTATTTAAATATACTAGTCCTGCCGGAGCGTTTTCCCTTACTTTCGGTTTCTAGGTTTCACTGTATAGGTATTGCAGGCTATTTGACATGTCCTATATCCAGTCTCTTTGAAGTTGAAGAGACAGCACTTGACTATATCATTAGGATAGATTATCCTCTTAATGTTCTTAGAAGTGTAGCCCTTGGAATTTTCAAGGGCATTTAAGTGCTTGGTGCGATTACTGTGGAAATCATCATTTGCTTGTTATCAACATTTTCCTTGTTATTTGTTAAGGATTGAATGTTACAAAAAAAAAAACACTTTTTTCATGCAACCATACCTATTTAGGATTTCACACTGCAACACCTGTGTGTTCTTACTCTTCCATTTTGATAGCTGCACCTGAAAAGTTGAAAGTAAGAACAATACGGAGTAGCTTACTTGTATAGCTCTATTCATACACTGCTGTTATTTAGTCTTCCATTTTTTATGTAATCAAAGGTGATATTGGGGCATGCCGCATGCATACAATTTACAAACAAAGTCTGTAAACATGCTACTGCCTTTTCTTCAGTTCTTCAGCATGGTTGTTTTCATAGCTTATGCATCTTGAATTTTTTACTGCTAAACCGCTCCCAGCTGTAACCATATAAATAATGAATGTAACAGCTTCAAGTTTAGTTCTGATTGCCATTTTTTCCTACAAACGGCATGGGCACGTCTTGTGGCCTTCTGATAAAAATGGGCTATACAAATTTTTTATCTGTGCCATTCAATGCCAGCACCACCAAACAGCTTGTACTTGTACCCATGCTGACTGAATGGCTTATATTGGGGACTGTCATCCTTCTATACTTATTTCCACAAGTGAAAGACACCCAGGCATATTACTTGTGACCACTTAACATGTTCTCTGGAGCAAAGTGGTGATTTTTGCTCCCTCTAATGTATATTCTGCTTTCTCTCAGGTCCTCATTGATTCTTTTCTACATGTGCCAGTGTGGATTTTATATCTACAGCATCGGTGCTCTTGTTGCTTGGGAAACCCGCAGAAAAGATTTTGCTGTAATGATGTCTCATCATGTAATAACATCTACTCTAATTGGAGTTTCATATCTGACTGGGTAAATCTTTTTCTGTGCACTTAATGATGTATTTGCACTTCACAACTTCATTCTCTCATATTCTGGTGCTGTCTATTTGGGTTCAACTGATCATACTGTGAATTTATGAGGCTACAGAGTAATCAATTAGTCCATAACTTACACAAGAATTCAAGGATATGCTAAACTTAGATAATTGTTCAGATCTTTTGAGTAGTCAATATTTTCTAGAGTGAGAAAAGCGTGGTAGTTTGATTCCTCAAAACGTATCTTTAAACGATTGGATCTAAGATTATACATATACAATAGAAAAGCGAACTCTCAATGGCAATGAGATGTAAAGGTAAGTATTGGCATCAGTTGATCTTGACGTTTTAGTTCCAGTCCTTAATTTGGCCTTTCTCCCTTGAAGTGTAACTATGTCCTCTAAGGCGGGGTTTCATGAGAATTTCATGTGCATTAAATATGCTGACATGGCACTGTATTGATAAAGAGAGAGATGATAAAAGTTTTATGGGAGTAGAGAGAGTTTCATGGGGATGAAACTCTTCGGCACTGTTTCCAAAATATGGGTGTGCTAGAAACTGGGACATGAAACCCCACTGAGACTGGCCTAAGAGTACATTACTTTTCTGATAATCTGTGTGCTTAGCTAGCATGGTATTACCAGTTTTGCTTCTACCTCATTTTTTTTTGGGTATTATGTGCTTCTGGTAGGCCTAGGGTATTGCTATTTTAAGATAATGAAAGTTATGCTCACTTCCAGATTTTTCCGAATTGGGACCATCATTCTCGCTCTTCATGATGCAAGTGATGTGTTTCTTGAGACTGCCAAATTGTGCAAGTACACAGAAAAAGAGCTGGGGGCTAGCTTGTTTTTCGGTCTCTTCGCTATCTCCTGGCTGCTATTGCGTCTAATTTACTTCCCATTTTGGATAATCAAAGCCTCGAGGTTTGTTTGCTACTTCTCTTTGTGATAATTTTCTGTTTCTGTAGTCTTGTAGTTTTAGACTTACTGTTGTTGCCATTGCAATGCCAGCTATCATTCCATCGCATTCTTGAGGAAGCTGGATGAATTCCCGACAGCTTTGTACTACATCTTGAACACAATGCTTCTCACATTGCTTGTATTCCATGTGTACTGGTGGAAACTCATATGTTTGATGATAATGAGACAATTGAATAATAAAGGACAAGTTACAGATGATGTTCGATCTGGTAAGAGAATTTTCTTTGGTGGAATTACTTAAATGGTTGGTTTGCATTGAGCCATGAATCATAAGAGGTTATTTTTGGCACATCTTTCTTGAAACAAGAGACATTTATGTTATTATTACAGTATTTATATTTAGGTAAAAGAAGTAGAGGATCCTTATGGCATCTATGTTATTGACAGGCCCAGCATTTCTATTTCAGATTCTCTTCTGGCAAAATGGATTGACGCACATTTTATGAGCTGTCATGTCATAATAATATAATAGCATAGATATGTGAACTTTCGTTGGATAGAAACCCTAGTGGCAAAGGCATCTGCGTGAGTTCAACTTATTTTATTTTGCTACAATGCAGATTCTGAGGATGAGGAGTAATGGGAGATTGATTCCGAGGATGAGGAGTAATGGGAGATTCATTCTTTGACATCTGCAACGTGTCATTTCTTCGCCAATACTTTTCTATGCCTGCTTCCAGAATTTATTGTTTTGATCTTGGTAAGTCTTGGGCATGGATAGAAAAGTTTAATCTCTGTATATTGCCTTATGATATCAAACATGGCTAGACCGAGAGTGGAGCAGGTCCTATACATGACAGGTATAGCTAGCAAGCTTACTTGAAGGTTCCTTCAAAATTTTTTGGTTCACCTTTTTTGATATGGGGAAAGGCATGAGAGGGCGTACGGGCTTTTTTCCTGAAGCTTGAAGAACCCCCTCTGTACCATGTTCAATATACTTCACCTGTGAGTAGATTTAGTTCTAATTGATGGTAATAAATTGATTCTTTTGATTGGGAGTAAATCTCACCTGTATCTTAATGATCTCATGTGATGTGCATTGAGCTTTATGCAGCTATATAATTTTTTGAATAGTGTTATCCCTATTCTACGCATATGATACAGGTATAGTTTAGATCCAATTTGGTTATGATATTATCTCAAATTAGACTTCAATACTAGTCGAATAAAAAAAATGAAATGTACTCTGAACTACTCAAATTCAATGGAGCAATATTCATATTATCAGGTATGTTTTAAATTTAACGTGACTTATGTTTCGGTTATCTTTTAAATTTACCGTGACTTATGTTTCTTCAGGGCTGAATCAATATTTTTACAATCTTATACTCCTATAAATGCAAGGAGGCTGAAATGTATTGAATCAATATGGATGCTACTTTTTAACAATGATGTGTACGGATGGGCACTGACTAAACCCCAATTTGGATCCACTAGCGCTAATAAGGGAACCAATGACTACAACCTTCGTTCTAAAATATAAGCATGTGTTTTGGTTCCAGGGGCGAATAGGATGGGATGGGGCGATCTTAATTTTGTGAATATTTGGTTTGGACTTTGGAGTCATGGGTTGAGGTCATCCCCTTATGGGAATATACCCAATTTGTTCTCAGAAAATTTGGAATATGTTTTTTAGCTAAATCTCTTGGAATTGCTCTTAGAAGTTTTAACTTTTAAGGAACTACTTAAAACCCACCCCCTCTCTCCTTCAAATGGAAATTTGGAATCTTTTTTTAGCTAAATCTCTTGGGGTTGCTCTTAGAAGTTTATGGAACTACTTAACACCCCCCACCCCACCCCCCCAAATGTAGGAGATCCATCCAATCTTCTCTATCCACTTGTATAGGGTATTGGTAATTACTTCCTCCGTTCCAAATTATAACTCACTTTGACTTTTTTGGTACATCTATTTAGCAAAATTGATGTACCAAAAAAGTCAAAACGACTTATAATTTGGAACGGAGGAAGTAATTTGTTGGAGGAGAAAAAACTACACTACCAACGATAAAAGATCACCTATATAGACTTTTAGAAGATAAGGATATGCAATTTGTTAGAAATGCTCTAGTGATGTAAATTTGATGTATTTGCTACCTAATTATTAGTGGTAGCTGTTTGGATTCGCTCACTAATATGTATTTGGATGGTTTGTTGGAGGTACAAATAAACTTGTTGACAACCAAAATTGTCAAAGGAAGTTGAATCCAGAATTTCCAATAGAAACAGGCGACAAGCTAAGTCGGTTTTTTGCACTCTGAAAATGCAAAATAGACTCCACTGTTGTGTTTCTCTCGTCGAGACGGTAGAAAAACATATATAGATTGGCCAATTTAGGGCCCGGATAAAGAAAGTGCAACTTTAGAAAAATTATCCAGCAGCAGGCTTAGCATGTTTTCCAAACAGGCTAAATCGGTTTTGTGAAGTTATCAAAATTGAGGAATGGATTTCACCATTGTGTTTCTTTCGTCGAGGCGATCGAAAAACACATATGGATTGTATAATTTGGAGCTCGGGTGAAGGAATTGTGCATTGACAACAAATTGGAGATGAAAGCAGCAAAACATGCTTAGTCAGTTTTCGCAGTATGGCTAGGCTTCCTCGTGGAAAGCGGCTAAGCCGGTTTCTGAAATAGGCAAGCTAGTTTTCCAAGTCCGAGTCCAATTCAAATCTATTTCGATGGGAACTTGCCCAATTTCGTGGGGAAATTGGAGATTTCCTTCGAAGAGGGTTCATTAATGAGATAAGACCACCTATGTATATATGCTAGAGGATCATTGAAGTAATCCACTACAAAATGAACAAAAAAGACCAATCTACTACTTCCTTTTCTTAACTTTAGCTCTTGCAACCTCTATGTTGCTATTCATCGCTTAATGAACAGCCAAGGATGGCGTCCTACAACTGCTGGCCAACCTAGGGCAACTCGTCGATGTACTTGCCCAAACAGGGTCCCTCATAGATGAGAGTTTTGACGGCTCCTTTTGTAAACTTATCGTTCTTTGTCATGTAAGCAATGGTAGCTATCCTTTGCTAGTTTGCTTGTAAATCTTGGCGCTCTGCACCGTGAAAGTGTGTTGGTTATCTGCGTTCTTCGGTTAATTTGCGACTCAGACATTATGTCCCTTACTAGTCTGTGATCGAGACAATGTAGCTTGTTAAGTGCCTAACAGAGGGGTTATCTAAACCCGGATTACCGTTACGTTCCTCTTATTACCTAGTATATAGTTCTAATCCTAGATAGAAAAATAAATAGAAAAAATCTAAAAAGGCGGATCCTCCCTCTCCATCAAGAGTAATGAACTGGGTTTGGTGTCCCTTCCAGTTAAGAATTGGGGCTTCACAATTACTAGTCAATATTTCTCTCATGCCTTTTCTCGTTCATGGTTCGATATTCTGGTGTCCTAGGCGTAGAGGAGCTACACCAATCCATCCTGAATTTGGTGGTTAAACTCTACTGCGGTGACGATACTGTAGGGGAGGTCCTGCGGCAAAATAGCTCGATGCCAGAATGATAAAAAACTTAACACCTCTTATTTGACTTTTTCACTATTTTGAAATATGAAAAAGATCCAAATCCAAAACACAAAGGTCGGGATTCCCCGATCTAATTAGACGTTAAAAATAGATTAGTGCCTAATGCAGGGAAAGGTTAGGTTTTCCTATGAGTGGACCCTTTACTTTTTTTTTAGAAATCCTAATTATTCTTGATTATGGATTGAAAAGGGATGTTATGACTTGAATGTGTAAAAGGATTCTGAATTGATACATGTCGACTGCAATAGCGAGGTCCTGCGTTATTTCTTCCTGATATACTGATAACGCCGGCCACCCAAACGGCCCATCCGTTCAGCCCTTCCTCTTACCTGTCTCAGTTCGTTATACCAAACCAGCCCTTTCTCTTACATTTACATGGTTCAGCTCATTATACCAATCCACAGGTGCCCAGATAGAGGAAGCATAATTGGGAAAGTTCAAATTCTTTTGCTCACGGTGAACTCACCAGTGCCACGCAAACAATTACACCATAGCTGGCTTATATATATAGAAATGAAAACGAGACATAACGATGGCAGTAAGTTGAAGTACTCCACAAAATATGAGACGAACATTAAAGAGAATCCCCAAATTGTTCTGCTCGAACAAAAAAATGAGACATAACGATGGCAGGTGAAGTTCTCCACAAGGTTAAGAGAATCCCCAAATTATTTGCTCGACTGGGGCAACAGTATTGGACTGGGGCAACAGAGTGTATGGAATTCACATTTACTCGTTGCCGTACACTTAAAACAACAGCTAACACATTAGGGTTATTAGTAACCGGGACACATTTAGAGAAACTCCGAACGAGGCACCTTAGTTTACAAGAGAGTGGGAGAGCTAACTAGACATCTTTGCACCTAGGAAATACACAGATTCATGCTTGAGCACTTGAGATCAAAGTTTGAATGATCAAGCATCAGTTTCCAGCTTCTTAGAATGTAAATTGAAGCACATGCACTTATCGATAAGGGCCTCGGACTCGTTGCCGTATTCTTTGAACCTGTACTCCTCCAACTCGAATGCTGACGGAACCTTCCCTTCACTGTAGCACCGGTTGCACAGGCTGAATGAGTGTTTTGTTTCCTTAAACCGTGATCCAATGATAGGGTACCGGCAGATGGAGCATGTGTGGCGACCATGACGTATGTGATCACTCTCTTCAAGCTTCACCAGAGTGCTCAGGATCCCAAATCCCCAATCTGGGTCATTGAACATCTCCAAGAATTCCGTGTATGATACCATGGTAGGGTCAGACTCCCCATGCATTTCGAGCATGTCACTAGCCCCATGGGTGGGTATATAAACAGCCCGAAGAAGCTTAATGTAGGTTAACGCATCACTCCTCCTTATCTGACCATTGCTGCCTTCGCTAGCAGGACGCCAAAGAAGTGCATCAAAGACAATACGCTTGCGCCTATCCACAGGGCCAGAACAGATTGGAGCAATGATGGCAAAGAACATACCCAGATCAACACGACCAGAGCCAGGAGCATCAAGGACAGAGAGAATTCTTTCGTTGATTGCCTTGATAGCACCCTGAAAGGTATCTGGCTTGAGAAAAGAGAGGAGCCTGCGGAGAATAACCTCAAGAGCTGCTTTGCGTATTGACTTCTCAGGGATGCCGGTGCCTGAGTAAGATACAGGGACATCAGTCTCATTCATCTCTTTTCTAAGAAGCTCCACATCGCAGTGGCCTAGCTTCGTCATCCTCTCGAAGGCCCTTATATCTAGAGCATTGGCCAAATCCTGCCGCAAGGTAGTCTTCCTGCCAACCCTCTTGAACTTGGATGCCTCCACAACAACATAAGCCTGCTCCCCTTGACCATCAACTTTTCCTTTAGAAGGCTTTGGCTTCTTCTTTTGCAATGTCTTCAAATGTGAGATAGCATCGTACACTTCCACCCTCTGTGTCATCTTAAACGCCTCCTTGAGTGCCTTCTTGGCCTCCTCAGATTCACCCTGCCCAAGCAAAGCCACTGCCTTGTTTAGCTGTGCACGCCAATGGTTTGGTCGGATGCTCAGCACACGAGTATACATCTCTGCAGCCCGTACGAAGCGTCCTGCATCCATGTTCAATCCACCAAGATTGTATAAGGCATCAACATGGCCAGGTTTGAGATCAATTGCTGTTTGAAACTCTTGGATCGCACGGTCATCCTCCCCTACTGCGTGCAGGGCCGACCCAAGGTCACAGTGCGCATCAGCATAGTCTTCCTTCAAGAAGATGGCCTCCTCCAGTGCCTTCTCAGCAGCTCGGTACTCCCCAACGCCAAAGACAGCGCTCCCCAGGAGCTTGAGTGCCCTGGCATGAGATGGACACAATATGGCGGCTTCTCGGTAATGCTCACAGGCACCAAGCACCATCCCCTCGGCCTCCATGGCAATACCAAGGTTGACATGGATCTGCGGGAGGATGTCCGCGGACTGTGAGCTGCCAGCCTCGGCGGCCTCAAGGGCAAGGAGGTACGCCTCCTTGGCCTCTGCATGGCGACCGAGGGCGTACAGGCAGTTCCCCGCGCGGAAGTGGGGACGGACGTCAGTGGGCTGCAGCTCACAGGCGCGGCGGAAGCTGGCTAGGGCGTCTCGGAAGAGGCGGTGCTCAGAAAGCGCCCGGCCGATGACCATGTGGTTGTCGAAGGCCTCCTCGCGCGAGCGGGAGGCGTCGGCGCGCGTGCGGAGCGCGGCGAGTTCCTTGACGAAGGTGAGGTAGTCGCGGCTCGTCTCGTCCCACGGAGCGGCGGTGGATGCCGAATCCGCCGCGCCGGAGATCTCCCTGGACCACCCGGCCTCGGAGAAGGAGTCGAAGTTGCTGTTGCCAGCGCCGCCGCTTCCGTCGATGGAGCCCTTCCGCAGCTGCTTTGAGCGGAGGCGCTTGACGAGTATCTCCAGGTCGTCGAGGAGCCCCCAGGAGGAGTCGAAGGCGATGCCGTGGTTGGGCGAGGTCGCCCACGACGGCGCGGCGGCCGCGGCGCGGGAGCTGACCGACGGCCGAGCGCCGCCGGCGCCGAGCGGCTTGGCGTGGTCGTCGAGCAGCGACGCGGCGGCGGCGGCGGCGGCGCCGGAGGGCGGGGAGGAGTGCGCAGCGGCGTCCCCCGCGGCGATCTCCGGGGAGGAGGCGTCGGAGTCGACGGCGGGCAGGGACAGCGCGAGAAAGTCGCGGTCGACGTCCCCGGCGCCGTCGTCGTAGGTGCGGAGCAGCCCCGGCAGGGAGAGGCCCCTGCCGTCGGGGAGGATGAACTCGGCGTAGGTGCGGAACACCTCATCGAGGATGGCGGAGATCTGGTCCTCGCTGAACTTGACCCGCGGGTTGACGGAGACGACGAGGGCGGCCATCTCATTGCGGTCCAGCCCGCCGTCCCCGTTGGTGTCGAAGCGCTCGAAGATCCTCCTCACCTTCTCCGCCCGCGACCCCCGGCCGGCCGACGCCGCCGACGCGGACAGCGCCATTACGGGTACGGCCCGCTGCTGCGCACGGGAAAAACCAGCCGGATCACGGCGAAATTCGGGCACGCGGGGCGGGCGCAGCGACGGCACGGGGATGGGGGGATTTTGATGCGGGAAGGGGGAGTTCAGGAATGCCGGGTGGGCCCGGCCAGGATGGAGAGGAGGGGAGGGCGGAGCGGAGGGGGCGGCGGAGCCGTGTGCTGGCTCGGCTGGCTACTTTGCTAGTGCTAACGAGAGGAGACGATGGTAATGATGACGGTGGATGGGGCGGCACGAGGGGTGGAACTGCAGCGTTGGCAAGCCTGGCTCGCAACGTTCGTTAGAGCAACTCCAACAAGCATTCTTGTTTTTGGAAAAAACTTTAAAATCTCCTTCCAATGGTTTGGCAAATGGGCTTGGCATTTCTATTAACTTGGCAAAAAAACCTGGGATTGCGGCGCGCTTCTCCCGCAATATATTCCCTCTCAAGCCGCTATTCCCGCGCGGCCGGTTTCCTTCCCACGAAAACCCGTATGAGTCGACGATCGCCCGCCACTGGTCATACATTCCCGTAAACCCGGAAGGACCTCAAGGGATCACGACGTTCTTCCGGGCGGCATCTTCATGGGCTAGGGTTGAGGTACTCCATGATCCAATCTTTCAATTGATGGTATACGTTTTCCATTGTTGCTAGCTAGCGTGGCTCGCCGGAGGGATGGCTATGATTCCCAAATAGTAGCGTTTGCTTCTAGAATTCAACAAAGGTCTTGATGATATGCACAGATGTGGTTTAAACAATATCCTCCTCGATGATATGCATGGTATGATGTGAAGGTGTATATGTACGGATGTCTCACGCATGTCCTTTGATCTTTATTTTTTGACGCGAATATATGTAGTGTCTTTGATCCATTCGTGCTAATTTGAAACACAAGCGGCAGATTCGTTCAAATGGAAGGAATGGGATTCTATCTGGGCATCACATCAAATGGCACAAACGTTCTGGCTTGGACGACTTGAACTTTCCATCGACTCCACACACTCAAAGAACCTAGTAATGATCTTCCTTCCGCATTTCAAGATGATGATGTTGTGGAAGTGCAGCGGCAAAGCTGGCGTCTTTGGTGGGCCCATAGGACAAAAAATTTTGATAAAGACGAAGATATAGTTATATGCTCGACTTGGTTGAATGTTAGCAAAGATCCCATTCACGGTGCCAATCAAACTCGTTTATCATTTTGGGGTAGAATTCGTGCTTTCTTCGACGAACACAAGACAACTAAAGCTATCAGGACAGAGAACTCTATTATGCATAGGTGGCTCACTATTCAGATAGATGTGAACAAGTACTGTTCATGCTACGAGAACTCTATTATTAAGGCTACTTCGAGGCAGAAGCATTTAACGCGCCGCATGATCACATGAGGAAACTCCATGATGGTATGCCAAGAAACAAAGAGATCAAGTCCATGCACAAGGGAAAAAATCACCGGAAATAGTGTGGGTCCACAATTTTCGTTTTGCCAAGTGAATAATGGGGAACCGTTGTAGATTGATTCTTTTTTTTACCTTTGCCATATTTATTTGGGAGTTGGCAAACTCCATGTTTTGCCAAACAAAAAATGCAAAACCGTTGGAGATGCTCTTAGCTCACATGGATAGGGCGCTCCGCCCCCCGCCCCCGCGCGGCCGCGCCCGTGTTCGCTCCGCCCGCCCGCCCGCCACTGGTCAACATCGGCGCGGGTTTGGGCTGGAGCCACACAAGATACGCTAGCAGCTCGCCGATGGCGGCCGGGGCGCGTCGCTGTGCTGCTGTGGACTGGTGGAGGAGTGGGCGAGTGGCGGTATGGTACAATGCAATGGCGGCATGGTGCAGGGGATCTTATTCTTGCGAGGCGGCCGAGTGGGGTGGTGTGCAAAAAAGTCGTGGTGGTCCCCGGTACCTTTGTTGGGACCGTTGATTTGGATTTCTCAGACGTCAAAACATCGACAAGACAAAAGGAAAAATTTGTCCAATTTTTATGCCACTATTTTTTTGGGATTGTGGGGGGAATAAGGACAGTCTCAATAAAAAAAAACTAATAGTTTCTATAACATAGGATACCACACAAAAAGTATTGATTTTTAACCTATGGTTTCTATGAGTAATAATTATTTTCTTTTTCTCTCTCCCAACTCTATTTTCTTCCTCTAATGGGAGTGCGACACGAGCTCCCTAGAAACTAGTGGTTTTTCTCCAATGGTGATTTCATGGTTTCTTGGTACATTGTGTCAAGAGTAGACCTGATTTTTTCATGAGAAAACTATTTTTATGATTTTTGCTCTCTTTCTTCATTAATTACAATGCCATGTCATCATTTTGCCTACGTGGCAAGTCATTTAATAAGGATAGAAACTATCATCAATACACTATTAGGACTGCCCTAACAATACCATCTCATCTAGGGCACGGGGGCGATTTGTGTTGATTTATGTCTGACTGTCTGTGGTTTTTTATAGTCCGCGTAGAGCTAGAGTCAGAATCTAAACAAAAGATATATTGGTGTTAGATTTATTAGGACTCAATCGAGTCAAGTTCACCAGATCGGGTACACAGAATAGGAATACATGTTCAAGATTTACAGTATATACACAAAACATAATGCATGAACTACAGAGATATAAAAGGAAGAAAATAGGTAGGTGGAGTAGGAAGTCGTAGACCATCGAAGGCCGTAGTGGTCGAAGCAGTCGGAGTGGTGGAAGCGCCGGCCGTGGCCTCGTTCGCGGATGCCATCTACGCGCCGGCAGCGACGTTCGGTGGAGAGAGGAGTCGGTGCAGTGGCATCCTTGGCGGCGGCGTGTGCGTCGGGGTGGCGTTGCCGGCGTCGGTGGTGCTTCCCGTCGCTGGCAGCGCCCCTTCTCAAGATCGGGTTAGGGTTAGGATGTCGGTGGGGTGTCTGGCGGCGCGGTGAACCTCATACTGCGAGCCCCGGCCCCCACCTTTCCTTTATAGCGCTGTGCGATGGGGGCCCACCAACCATGTAGGGTTGGGCGCCCCCGATCAGGGCGCGAGAACAAGGCCCAAAGGCCGTTGGGCCTAATGGCGTGGGAGATCAATTCAACATTCTCCCCCTTGATCTCTCATCACTTTCTTCGTTCTTTAATTCTTACTCAAACTTTCGATTCATATTTTTCTTGCTTCCATCCTATTTCATCACAGATTAGTGCATAGAACTATCCCATCGTCACAGCAATTAATGTCGTTAGACTAACAACCATAATACATTTCTCTGTTTTGAAATGTAAACTTTCTTTGGACCCTTCGTATGTTCGGGAATCATAGGCTTTCCCTTAAACCCATGCCGGCTATGTGTTCTCTGAACACGTTGGGTGGTAAGCCCTTTGTGAGCGGATCCGCGAGCATTTTCTCTGTACTTATATGCTCAAGATTTATTATATGATCCCGAACTTTATCTTTCACAACATAGTACTTTATGTCAATGTGTTTGGCAGCACCACTTGACCTATTGTTGTGAGCGTACTGTACCGCTGGATTGTTATAACAATACAATCTCAGTGGTTCATTTATATTATCAATTACTTTCAATCCGGGTATGAATTTCTTCAGCCAATTCACCTGTCCCGTTGCCTCATAGCATGCTACAAACTCGGCATACATTGTCGAGGATGCAGTTACGGTTTGTTTGGAGCTTTTCCACAATATAGCCCCTCCTACGAGAGTAAATATATATCCTGACGTGAATTTTCTTTCTTCTCCCGCATAATCAGAATCTGAATACCCCTATATCTGTAGAGAATCAGATCTTCTATACGTAAGCATGAGGCCTTTCGTACCCTGCAAATAACGCAGGACTTTCTTCACTAATTTCCAATGTTCAATTCCTGGATTCTTTTGATATCTGCCAAGTAACCCAGTAACAAAAGCTAAGTCAGGGCGTGTACACACTTGAGCATATTGTAAACTTCCAACAGCTGAAGCATACGGTACCGCTTTCATTCGGTCAATTTCATATTGGTTCTTGGGACACTGATGTTCCCCAAATCTATCGCCCTTGACTATAGGAGCAGGTGAAGGACTACACGTATGCATACTAAATTTCTTCAGGACCTTTTCTATGTATGCCTTTTGTGATAATCCTAGAACCCCCTTTCTCCTGTCTCGGTGAATTTCTACTCCCAAAACGAATGAGGCCTCACCGAGATCTTTCATATCAAAGTTTGAGGACAAAAATTTCTTCGTTTCCATTAGTAGATTGATATCACTACTAGCAAGTAAGATATCATCCACATATAAAATTAGAAATATGTACTTTCCATTCTTGAACTTTGCATAAACGTAATTGTCCTCAATATTTTCTTTAAACCCAAAACCTTTTATCGTTCTATCAAACTTCAAATACCACTGTCTTGAAGTTTGCTTCAATCCGTAGATTGATTTCTTCAGGCGACATCCCATATTTTCCTTTCCTTTTACGACAAAACCTTTCGGTTGTACCATATAAACATTTTCTTCCAAATCTCCGTTTAGGAAAGCCGTCTTTACATCCATTTGATGTAACTCCAAATCATAGTGGGCTACAAGTGCCATTATAATTCTGAAGGAATCTTTACATGAGACTAGAGAAAACGTCTCATTGTAATCAATCCCTTCTCTTTGCGTGAAGCCTTTCGCCACAAGTCACGCTTTAAATCTTTCTATATTCCCTTAGGAGTCATATTTCGTTTTGTAGACCCATTTACAGCCTACTGTTTTGGCTCTTTTAGGAATATTTTCTAAGTCCCAAACTTTATTGGTACTCATTGATTTCAATTCATCTTCCATGGTCTTAAGCCACTTTGATGAGTGGTCGCTTCTCATGGCTTCTTCAAATGAGGTGGGATCATCCCCCATCTGACGTTCTTCTATTTCATAAACTTCATAGTCATCAGTAATAGCTGATCTTCTTATTCTTTGAGACCTTCTAGGTGCCTCCGGCACTTGTTCCACATTGGGCTGTTGTTGTTTTTCCTCATGTGCAACA